AGAGAGAGAGAGAGAGAGACGAGGGAGGAGAGATGAGAGAGAGTGAGAGGAGAGAGGAGAGAAGAGCGGATGAGAGAGAGAGGAGAGGGACGGAGAGAGAGAGAGGAGAGAGAGAGGAGAGGGAGAGGAGAGGCAGAGAACGGCGGCCCCTTATAAATGTCAATTCCCTCCTTCCCCTCCCGGTTGCCGTCTCCGCCGGTTCGTTTTGAGAAGCCCAGGCAAGCTCGCACTCGCCTGGTGGTCATCTTGGCACGATACTGAGCACAGTATCAGCGATTACCCGGCGCACAGGCGGTGCGCTGTGGCCGCGCGTGCGCAGCTGACCGGAGCGATACGGGGAGCGCCGTGTCGCGTGTTGAACCTTTTAGTTCGAGAACCACTGACTTCTTGGCGACGAGATTGATGATGGAGACGGGAGCTGACGCTGAGTAGTTTTTACTGTATTTACAATGAGGCAGCCTCTGCCTCAGGATTGACGAATGGTCCGCATGATTCGTATGTTCTGGCGATTTTGAGAAGCGCGAGCTCCGTTGCAGCATCAGCATTGCCCTTTCGTGCATGACGCTTAATTTATCTTAATTTATGCGTGATGCTGTCGTGCTTTGCTGGCATGCATTTACAACGGTATCCCTGAACAGGGTAAAGTGATGATGGTTGGCATCAACGCGTCAAGAAGAATCTTATTGTGGCATCCTCATCACACTTTGCAAATGCCCGGATCTGAGAACGCCTGTTCCTCAGGCGCCTGATACCAGTCAGCCTGGTGCTGGTCTGGCAGTTTGGTCGCCTGGTTGCTTGGTCCTGGTACCAGTCAGCCTTGCCCCGGTCTGGTAGCTTGATCGCTTGGTCCTTGTTCCAGTCAGCCTGGTTTTGGTCCGGTAGTTTGGTCGCTTGATCGCGCGGTCCTGGTATCAGTCAGCCTGGTCCTGGTCTGGTCGCCTGGTTGCTTGGTCCTGGTATCAGTCAGCCTTGCCCTGGTCTGGTAGCTTGATCGCTTGGTCCTGGTGCCAGTCAGCGATGGTCAACAAACGGCCAAGTCCATTCGCGACTACCATGACCCTAACCCCCGACTTCAAACTAGCTTTGCCCGTAGGCGAACGGGACGGTACCACGTTGCAGTCCAGGGCACATGTTCGGTAAATAGTTCAGCGCTCCATCCACTGTTTTACGAAGACGGCCGAGATGAGAACGAATTCGGTTAAGCGCGAACACCAAGGCGTCTTGCGCTAGGCAGGATATACTGGTGCTGCGCACAGGGTATCTGTTATATCTGCTTCCTAATCAGTTTCGCACGAGCGTGGGACCGTAAAAGTTTCTCTAAACTTTTAGCGGTGTCAAGTGGAAAAGCTTTTCCGCGAAATGATCTAAACTTTTCAATTTTTTGGTCACCTTACCGCGGGGTGGAATACAATAGCTTGCCTGTCGTGCCGTAGACGCCACTCAGATCAACCATCGTGATCTTGCAAGGAGTTCAGAAAATCGGGGCTGTCATCTTGCTCACGGCGCCTGGATCGAGTGTCTCAAGTACCGGATATGTCAGTACACCGGCAGGAAATCGGGGCTGTCATCTTGCTCACGGCGCCTGAATCGAGTGTCTCAAGTACCAGATATGTCAGTACACCGGCAGGAAATCGGGCTGTCATTCTTGCTCACGGCGCCTGGACCGAGTTTCTCAAGTACCGGATATGTCAGTACACCGGCAGGAAATCGGGCTGTCATCTTGCTCACGGCGCCTGGACCGAGTTTCTCAAGTACCAGATATGTCAGTACACCGGCAGGAAATCGGGCTGTCATCTTGCTCACGGCACCTGGATCGAGTTCTCAAGTACCGGATATGTCAGTACACCGGCCGTCGAAACTGACCTCTGTCCGTCCCCTGGAGGTCAGCTCGGTGATTGTCAGCCGCTGGCCGTGAACCTTGTCACAGGAGCGGGCCCAGATTGGGAGGCGCGACATCGCTGTTCCATCTGAGGTCATCAGGACGCTAGACGGGGAGGGTCAGTTTTGTGTGCGTACTGGTACCGTGAACTTTGTGATCTCAATCTTGTCCCACGCCCTGCACGTAAGCAAGCCCGCGCTAAGGCTTCTGCTTGTCACCACGCAGCAGGTACAGTTTTACAATGTATCCGTTGTCATCGTGTACAGCTGGCTTTCTGTTGCTGTGGTACGGTAAGAGGGGCATTGCCTTCTGCCACGCGGAGTTGGATTAAAACGCAAATGAAATAGCGGTGGTTCTGGTTTTTCCGTAATGCTGTATAGCTGTTCAGCACTCAGGTCTTTCCCTACATATACGGAAAGTATCTCGGAAAGTGATCGTTCCGGAAGGGCTTAAATACCAAAATGTACTGCAAAATGCCTTCCGCCGAGCTTTGGCTCCTCTCGGCATGGAATGGGCGTGAATGATGCCATGGATTGTCTTAAAGCTTAAAAGCGTCGCCGTAAGATTTTGCTGGAAACTGTGTGGCCGCCCGTGGCCGTCTGTAAAATGAGGGACAAATTTAGGGACATGCATTTTATATGTGGTGTTTGAGGAGGAATTGGACAAACTCAGGAACATGCATTTTAGATGTGGCGTTTAGAGGAGGGATTGCAGGGACGACTGTCGTCGTCGGTTGGAAGCCTCAGTTTATGTGAAGTCGGTATAGTGGCCAGCAGGCTACTGACACGCACCGGGTGAGCGGTGATTCAGGCTTCATCGCGGGTGTTAATACACATCTTCCACGAACACGCGCTATGATTCACATGCTGAGACCAGTGCCACTGGGTAATTGGAAAACGACGTCATTGGTTATGCTGCGTTTTCGTAGCATGATGGCATTACTCATCTACAGGCTGCCAACGCCTCCGCATGCATTGCGAATGCGCATTGTACATTTCCGTAAAGGTCCTCGGCCCTAACCGTGGTAATTTTCAACACTGGTGTAGACCGCATCTCATGTTCAGCAGGACAAGTACACCGCTTATAGGTGCCTGCGGCCATCTGGAGAGTACCGCTGCAGTAGCATGCTGACTTGAAAGTGAGGCCGAGAGACTCCCATGAGAAGGCCCGTGGCGTAACTAAAGTTATCAGATGACCCTGCGCAATGCGCTGATTCGAAAGTGCGCCGTTCTAGACACGAGTGAGCGACGCTTTGTTTCTTGTGTGGTTCGTCAAAAGGCCACAATCACGACTCGCTGCTACCACAACATTGCCGTCAGCCTGCCCTGAGCGCGCCGCCGCCCTCGTGCCGTTGGCTTTCCCAGTGTCCCCGCTCTCTCGCCGTCCGCCGATTGGAGCGCATTGCCGGACCGTTCGTTGGTGCCCGCCGTCTTCGCGGAGAGCCGGCGGTGACGGTTCGCGGCCGCGGCGGCCGGTCGGCCCAGATCGGCGGTCGCAGCCCAGATCAACGGCTGTCCAGCCGGAAATTGTCCGAATTATCGAGCCCTCGTCGGTCGGCGGGGGTCGTGTGTGGGCTCTGGCTCTGGCTCTGGCTCTGGCGGGTGGGTGCAGGCGTAGGCTCTGGTTCCGATGGAAGGAGGCAGGCGTCGGCTCTGGCTCTGGCGGGAGGAGGCAGGCGTCGGCTCTGGCTCTGGTGGACGGAGCCAGGTGTCGGCTCTGGCTCTGGCGGGTGGAGGCAGGCGTCGGCCCTGGCTCTGGTGGGTGGAGGCAGGCGTCGGCTCTGGTTCTGGCGGATGGAGGCAGGCGTCGGCCCTGGCTCTGGCGGGTGGAGGCAGGCGTCGGCCCTGGCTCTGGCGGGTGGAGGCAGGCGTCGGCTCTGGCTCTGGTGGACGGAGCCAGGTGTCGGCTCTGGCTCTGGCGGGTGGAGGCAGGCGTCGGCTCCCGCCCTGGTGAGGCGACGGACGTATCCAACTGTTCCTTCTGGAGAGTGAAGCGTGTCGCTGCGTTGCTCACGCAGACCGCTGATCGCCTTGCAGTGGGTGATAAGCTTGACCGGCCAAGCGAGGCTAATTATGCGAAGCTGATGCCTTCCAGTCACTTATGTCGCCGGCACCAGCGAACGGCCCGAATGCAAGGAACTCCCACCTTTCTATAGAGAAAGGTGGGAGTTCCCTGCATCTGAACTTACATACTATTCATTGCGTGAGCGTAACAGCCATGCTCCCGTGTGCCAGCCGCTGTCCGTGACGGCGCAACTGGAAGGGGGGGGGGGGGGGGTGAGGAGGAGGCAGCGGGGCAGCCAATCCGCCTCCATCTTTGGACAGGATTATTCATAATGCTGTGGCATTAGTGGACACAGGCCACATAAAAACCACAGTTAGCCATTCTCCCCCCACCCCATATCTTCTCAGAAAATCCAGCTGTCATCCACTGTTTCTACCCTTTGGATTCAGGCACACGGCTGGATCTTACATGATGCCGTCAGCAGACGTCGGATGACTCCGCATCCAGCAGCTGTCCAGCGGCAGCTGTCCAGCGGCGGCTATTCAGCGGCAGCTGTCCAGTGGGAGCTGTCCGGCAGTTGCCCAGCGGCAGCTGTCCAGCGGCAGTTGTCCAGCGGCAGCTATCCAGCGGAAGCTGTCCAGTGGCAGCTGTCCGGCGGCAGCTGCCCAGCGGTAGCTGTCCAGCGGTGTCTTAAAAGGCGATGTAACGCTGCTCGACTGTGCTGGTGGGGTCGCTTCCCACGGCCTGAAGTCTTAGTCATGGGTATGGTGCGGTCTGATGGAGGGCCTCTGTGGCCATGGGTATGGTGCGGTCTGATGGCGGGCCGCTGTGGCCATGGGTATGGTGCGGTCGGATGGCAAGCCTCTGTGGCCATGGGTATGGTGCGGTCGGCTGACGGGCTGTTGTGCTTTTCATCTCGGCCACAGCGCGGACTGGGTGACAGTTTGAATTTGTTTCGGATTGTAAGATTATCTCCCCCGGACTCGGCAAGGAAAGAGGCGACTACAACCCTCGAAATATTTCCCCCTTCTCCCCGTTTGGCCAGTGGTGTCGACCCTGGCTGTGGTTGTGGCTGGTTGGGGGGTGGTGCTGTTCATCCGACGGGTCATTGTGACAATCCCAGCATCACTGGTGCACTCAAGGGGAACAAACGGTGGCCCTCTGGACTAAAGCCAGTGAGCTACATGTCCTTTGGCCGTGGGCTCCGCCACATGTAAGACGTGGGTCTGAGCTGTCCGACATTTAGCATCACGTTTGTTGGCCGTTGAATGCAAGTAAATCGCGAAGAATCTTTGTTATCCCCGACTTTTGGCTATTCGTGGAAGCCGTGTTTTTAAACGTGTCAGCATTTACGACACATCTCTACGGCTCCCTCCTTTCTGACATCGGTACAAAAGGGCATAGACATATCTTGTGCGTCATGTTGTGCTGCGTTTTTTCGTTTTGATGACTTCGTGATGAAAAAAGTGGAGCCCATGACCCTGGTGACTGCCTCTTGAATCTGCGAAACTCGACGTGTGTTAATCAGCCTCGTCACTGGCACTTAGAAGACCGCAACTGCATTGCCGAGATTGCCAGAGAAGCTGACCCAACGATGTTTTGGTACTGGCGACGCTGCGTGCTTTAGCGCAGGTGTTATTGCATTTGGTTTGCAAATGGTTGAAACACTGTTTCGACTGCCTCTGGAATATTGCATTTAGTCAACAAACTTGAGAGTGGTTTGTGATAAGCGAGACTTGTTTGGTGTTTCAGTGTTGGTTTCTGTGTAACAGAGGCCAATCGGCTCTCAGGTCACGCATAACTCATGTTTTTTTTGGGGGGGGCGGTCCCCGTCAACATCACGTTAAACACGCCTCGAAACACCGTGTCCGAATGAAAGTTGTATTCTGAAGCGCAGAAAGGCATTTCAGCCATCTCTGATCCTTCCTTGTCGCGGCTGAAGGTGCCGTTGTACTGGCGGGAACCACCCGAGCGGACGCTGCCGGGCGCTACAGTTGCGGCTAGCCAGCTGGGAACTGCCAGGGGAGGGCTACTAACGGTGTACGCCGTGCTGTAGCCATGCGAACGTCAATGCCACATACACGTTTATGGGCTGGTGATTTGGCGCTGGCACGCATGAACGGGCTTTGTATCGGCCTTGGTCTGCGACATAAACTGTGTTGGTCAGGGGAGGGCTACCGTTGTACTGGGAGGGCTACCGTTGCATCCTGTGAGCAGCAGTACGTCCCCTTCCGTTACATTGGTGCTCACTTCGGTTTAAGAATGGTGGTGCCCAAGGTTCAGTTACTTGTCGCAAGAGTTGTATGACCATTTTTCCCTCGCCTTTATTCGCCGCGTTTCATAACGCTTATAGGTAGTGGGGGTCGACAGAACCCCTGCCGTTCTCATGCTAACACCGGCAGTTTCTTCTCAACGAGGTCTTGTGATTGGTAGAAATATTTTTGCTGCTATCTCGATAATTGATCCAATTTTACCAGATCAAAGGTCAAAGTGTTCCTAATTTTTTTCAGCGTTGCCTGCTCATGTGTACGACAACATTCCTCGTAGTGATGCGAAACATCAACAAGCACATTTCTTGTTCTATCTTTGGTACAATAGAGACAGTTTTGTGTATATTGAACATTAGTTTATGAGGCAGGGCTCCGTCAACCGGAGTGATCCACAATTGTGTAGGGTTTTGAACTAAGATAGCCATTTGGAAGATCATTCGGTGTAGTTCACAGCCATGTCCTTTTTAAGACTAAAGACCCTCTTGTTTCTGAGTTTGACGCCCGCGAACTTGTGCAAACTATTCCAAGGTCACTCAGACATGCATGACGCCATACAACGTCACGCAAATTACTCTGCTCATTGGCCATGTACTGCTCAAGGCCAAAAAACAAATGTGACGATCGAATTATTCGTGTTTAGCGTACGTCAGCATGATTCGTGGCACCAGCGGCCATTAGTTGGCCTCCGACCATTTTGATGCTTTGAGTGCAAGTTTCGAGCACAGATCACGTTTTGTGCAATGCAGTCGGCGCAGGAATTTGGACAGTGCTACGAGTCATGAAGGAAGCGAGACTGGGGACCGGAGAGCTTAAGAATAGCGCCATAACCAAGTGCAAATAGCGCTATAAACAAGCGCCATAATTAAGTGCCGTCCGCCAAAGTGACAATTCTAACACGATCATCTTTGCAGCGTCTCTGACGTCATACAAATGTTCCATGACGTAGTGAAACGATGACGTGTCGAGGAGTTTATTTGTTGAATAGTGAATATTTTCGTGTAGGGCAGACTGATGCTCAAAATCATGCATATGATGACCTACAAATGGGTTTATTTCATCATATTTGATGCTTACGTTAATATCGTAGAATGCAGAACATTTCCTCTAATTCAGCCATGCCCGGAGCCTGCGGCCCGGGAAGTCGTTGGTTGTCGCCCGCCGCTCACGCCGGCTGTGGGTCGTCGCGCGGTGTTCCACAAAAACTGTCCCTTCTCAAAAACCGCAAAAACCAAGGTCACGTTGTTGGTGTCCAAACACGCGCAATGGGTGCCTCAGAAGGTACGGAAAATTTGGGCGTGGTTACACGTCGTGCCGGAGAGGTATTTTCCGAAAAAACTTCAGTCACATCGATCCCCCCTATCAGTGCGAAGGTTAGACATTTGGATGAATTCAGGATTCTCAAACACAAAAATTTTCTTGTTGAAAATCTACAAGGCTACATTGATGTCCATATTTGACAGGGCCCACGTTCGGCACCTGCAGAGATACTTCACTGTTCTTCGCCATGACTACCGCGGACAACGGTAAACCGACCGAACGACCCCTATTAAACTTGTATGCATAGCAAATCTTCCTTCCCAAACTGGAGGTGTAACTTTGCTGTGTGGGCGCATGACTTTCATGTGATACGGGCGCATTTTCCTCTTTGCGCTCTCCAGGTCGCGTGGGGATGACGTCACATTAAGGAATGTATGACGTCAGACGTCCACGTGCCTATCCTGTCGGTCATAGGTCTGACGCAGCCAATCTGAATACTGCCCCGACAACTTCGTAAATCAGATACCTACCAGTTTGCAGTATGAGGTGCTTCAAATTTGGCTTAAGATATTGGTGTTTCTCAATAACATCTCGGAGATTTTCAGATCTCGCAAGGTCTCAGCAACTATAACGAAAAGCTTCTGTCCTGGGTCGTTGTTAGTACCTGTGTTCACAGAAAACTGCTTGCGTCAGCGAAGCCGGAAAAGGTGCATGACATAATATTTGCCAACGCGTAACAAAGCCGATGATTTGGACGGAGCTTTTTAAAATATCTCAAATAAAAAAGAAATGATGCATGGACTGCACTAAACCACACGGACGTGCTCTGGGAGACGCCTGTCCAGTTCATGACGTTTCACTCTGCGCCGGTTGTGACGTCATAGAATACCTGTATGATGTCACCAGGCGAGGCCGGGCAGCGGATGCGGGAGTCGGAGCCCGGCGCGGCCCGACGCGCTGCGCATTGGTTCCGGTTCACGGTCACCGGAAGTGGGAGGGCTCCGCTGCCCCTCATCCCCTCTCTCTCCCCTCTTTCCACCCGGCGCTCTCCACTCTCACCGACTGTCCCTGAACCGAGGCGGTGGCGCGCCCGCTGTTTATCCTTTGCTCTGGACGCGAGCGAGGCGAGCATGCGAGAGCACCCACGTGTTGACCGCGCCGATAACAATGCGCCGAACGCATGCGGGCGGCGTTTTTGCGACCATTCGTGCGCGTGTAGGGTTTGG